CACCGAGTACCCGACCCCCGAGGTCAGCTACGACAACAGCTACCAGCAGCCCCAGCCCGCCTACGGCAAATACTAAGTCAGCGACAAGTGCTTGTGAAACATGAGTGCCATGCAATCGCGAGTATGTCCGTGCCTGCTTGTATGTCCATGTATTTATTTGTCACGTTTGTGTTATTTGTACATGAAGGCGTAAAATAAACATGTTCGTGTCATGACATCCTTTAACGTATCGGAAACGCCCATATGTTCTGTAGGACAATGCAGCAGATGAAATATCAGTGGCTAGGCATATCGGTCCACTGTACTGTTGTTATAAACGATTACAGCTGATCAAGCAGCTAATTTAGTAGGAAGCAGTCATTTCAACCCCGTCACACAGTCTTGAGGAGCACGCGCTGGTAGGATTACTTGACGGAAGCACTGAATCTGAGAAATCCAGAACTGAATCCAGACAGTCTGCAGGGGAACTAATCTTCCCAGCAAGATACCCCCGATAATGCAGGGGTGTTGATTTGTGAGGATGGTGTCGCACGGCGACGCCTTCCTTAAATTGTAACAAAGTTTGCCCTTATTTTGAGTAGGAGTCAATACTACCCCGCGAATCCAGCCAATATTTCAAGCGTGCCGTTCTCATGAAACAGCATGCGTCCATTTTCATGGCGTGGCGATCGATATGCCATTAAGTTATCTTATGATCAGATGCCTCTTCTTCATCAGTGTTTATCCTCGCGGCAGTAACAGCTGTACAAATATGATAAAGGATAACCGTGTTTCTCTTACTAGTGCTGCTCGAGATCACGGCGGTGGCATTTTAAACACGACGGCGCAGATTTTCCGCAGCAAGAAATACTCTCAGGGTCACCGTTATTGGCTTGACGAGGGCATGTGTCGTATTCACATTCGTAATTCTTCAACCCGTAAGTCTACGAATTGGGAATCAGGCTTTCTGCTTCCTCTTGCCCGTCGACAGCCGCGCAGCAATTTACCACCCCGAGGTGCTAGATTACGAAATCTGAGCGTATGGTTGTCGGTCATCTTACCTCAGTGTGGCGAAGACCGAGAATATTAGAAAACGCAGCAAGATACAAAATATGACGTGATTTTCACGACAGATTACATTATCGAGTTTACTTTCCACCTTGACCACCATATGCTCAAGCAGCGACAAATGCTAAGTTGAGATTGGTACTCATAAGGCCACTGTTCCGTCGAAAATGTCACTCCGCTGACCGTCTCGTCGACAAAAAAAAAATACCATTCAAAGGCAGCAAGATGCTAAAGAGGGTTCAAATTTCACCACAAAAACCATTTACTTCAGTTTGTACACCAACTACCGTCAGCGCAAACCGGGACAAATGTTCAATAGGCATTAGAATCCACACAGTCATTTTCCCGTCCAAAAACGGCATTGCTATAAACATCTTGCCAACATTAGAACCCTACTCAAACGCATTTTTGGAAATATCCAAAGCGCCATTTACTTTCCAAACAAAAAGTTTGCCCGATGTGCTGACGCACCAGGCGCTCAAAGAGCATAACATGATCGCCCACCATCGCGTCGCAGATTTATGACGCTTTTCTCTATCAATTGCTGACTAAAATGGTGAAAGAATTTCTCTGTGTTCACCAAAATATTGCCCATGCGGAAGAAAAGTGTGTGCATGCACGATGTGAAATCTCTGTCGGTACCTGCGTTCAAAATTGCTCCCGCTTTGCGTCGCACAAGCGAGAGCAAAAAGCAACAAAAAAAAAACAACAAAAAAAGAGCAACAAACACAAGCCACAGCTGGTGAAAAGAACTATCAATGCACATTTTGTTGACGGCCTGTACATAGAGCATGCATTTGCAGTTGATACCGTTGATATTTGGCCTTTGGCCCCGCATAATGGGTTCCATTACTGACCAAGAAATATAAAGTGTACTGCTAACCGGGTAATTTCCTGAGAGCCAATCCAATGGTTTTCCATGATTCTCTTTCGTTTTCGGTTTGGAGACGGCAGTAAGGGCGAGGGTTGCATCGATCCCCGTATCAGTTTGCGCTGTAGCAAAAGGCCAATAAGGGCAAGGCTTAATGTGCAGTGCAGTACTGTACCTAATGTAATAGTGTGAATGCTACTCTTGTTAAGTGTGCCTGTCCTTACGTTCCAGGCTTGTTCAAGGCTGGTTGTTAAATCCATTGCTGGTGCAGGTGGAAAGAAACATTTCATTCATTATGTTTTATCTTTCAAAGAATATTTCATAAAACGAGCACTGTTGGAAAATTTAAACCCGTAGAAGGCATGGACATATGGCGCAAAATCGTCAGCAATTACTGCACATGATCGATCAGTGTTACTTAAGCTTTTCAAGCAGCAAACTGAGTATGGATCGGCTTCTACGTTACTGCACCCAGACCAATTCATACAACTGACAACAGCTGACGAGCCACATCTTTTACTATCACTGCTCTAGCATTTGAGATGATCTTCTCCCGAAAATTCCTGTAAAAAGACAAGATATTGATGGCGATGCCCGGTGGAAGATCGCGTAGTTTTCTTTTTAAAGCTGTGTGATACATAAGATGTCCCGAACATCATGTGTTATGATACAGCAGTGGCTACGGACAGTAAGTGTTTCTAAAATCCTCCGTGCTGCTCATGCGCATGTCACCCGATTACGCGCTCGGGTGGCTGGCTGACAACGACGCCACCTGGGGAGGGGGGGGGGGGGGGAGGAAGCAGGAAAATGGGTCCCGCTGGGATTTCAAAACTTAAAGAGCTTAAGATATCACATGAGCGGAATAGATGGGCCTGTATATATCAACCCACGTGTGCCTAAAATGCCAAGGTCCCTATGTCATGATCTTTAAGCGAAATAACGTGAAAGCAAGGCTACTAGAGCAAAAGGCCACGCAGACGTAATGCCACCATGGGACTAATGTTGGTAGCTTGCAGTAAAGTCGTTGGTTGATACTAGAAAAAGGTTGGTAGATATTGGTACCATAATCATACACGGATATTTCGCCGATGAACTGGGTGGAAATCTTGCTCTACTCATTTATTTCAATGCTACATGGATATGTATCGTACACTTTGCTTTTCAAGCCTTCTAAATGCAAAATAACATTAGGATCTACCTCCAAAATAGATTCTACTCGACCACGGTTTCTAGTTCTAGCACCAGCGCTATGTTCGTCCTAGTCAACGCGCTTAAATATTTAGATGTCATGTCTTTTGGTAAAACGGATATTTATATGTAAATAAGTATATCTATTACCTTATGTTTTTAATAGATCTCTAAATGGACAATTGTTGTACATTCATCTTCCTACTTAAGTACATATTTTGAGTGAAAGATAAAAATAAGGCAAGGTGAGGAGGGCAGGTGCCAAGAATTTCGCTCTTGCTGCGCTTTGGTTTTCCTGGGCGTTGGTTCACTTACAGGTCGATAATGTCGGATGGGTTCGGTGGAAAGATGCGCAGGAATAACACCCTGGCTAGCATAATATATCCCCAACACTATTTCTGACCTGAGATATGGGCCACGGACCGTTGATTGACGGAAGGCGTCAAACTTGCCAACAATCGTCCTATTTTATAGGAAAATCTGCTATCCGTAAATGAATTGACGCGAGCTGCATTTACCCCTTCCTGGGTTCACCACTCACGGCTTTTATTAGGACAGGCCAGCCCTGCATCCACGCTCACAGTGGCCCGCCTAACGCTTCAGGATGCACATTCTAGCCTTTCAATGCGCGTCCCAGGTGTGCTGCAAGCCCGTCTGGCCCACCGCTTCTCATCCCTACCATATACCGTTGTTGTATGTTTTACTCTTTTACACAAGCTGCTTCTAAGCACGTCCGGCTAGAGTTCTTTGGAATACATCTCTGGTAAATGGGTAACCCACTCTGTCTCGGAGACAGGTGCGAAGCGCATTTCAGCAACAATTTTGTGGCTCTAGTGCAAACCAATACCATTTCCCAGCTGGTCATTGTTAATCTAGCGTGCCGGATAGAAAAAAGTCCGGTTTATGGAAAACTTTGTGCTTAAGCCAGCCCGTAAAGAACAGCGTTTTCACGCCGCTGTAGCGTTGGTGCCATATGACTTAGTCCAAAATGACGTCACAGCATCCCCTACCCAGAATGCAATAGTGCGGGGTTTGGGCGAAACAGTGTCAAACTCCAGAACGGAGTCCCAAATGACCGCAAAGATCATTATGCCTCTTCTCGTAGCTTAGATGTATCTACTAAGCAAAGGCCGCTGGTGCTCACTTTACGACAGTCACCTTATACAACCTTTAGAATGTCACAGTGACCAAAAACCTGCGAGACCTCGGCGCCTATTGAACTTCAATAGGCGCCAAGGGTTGTACTACGTATCGTCCTTGGCATAAGTGGCAGTAAAGAATGAAACAACATTTCCAAAATTCTACCAGTAAAGTTCTGCTGATTTTTTGTGGAAGCCATTCAGCTAAATGGCTTTTGAAATTTTGGGTTGAACGTGATCGCTTCGCTCCACGTGAAGGTGATTAATGAATGCCTCAAGTTACACACTAAAGATGATGAATAACTGGTCCTTCTCGCTTGCAGACTCTGCGGTGGCTCACTCCATTTTCCGCTCTAAAATTGCCTCCACCCTCCATTTCTTAATGGCCTCCGGCCGAAAACTGGTAAACCCCCGTTCTTTTCAATGCTCAGTATCGTTGTCATTGCTTTCTGTTTTTTGCGTCAAAGTCAGCTATTTGTAATCTTCACTTAGAGCGGAACGGCCACCTTCAACTCAAACACATTTGGGTGTTGTACCCATTCAGAAGACCTGCTATCAACTATATGTTGCTTTGAAAGCTTAGTATTATGCTTTAGATTTGCTTGCTTTCCGAATGCCCGTGTTGCCGAGAGCAGAGGACGTGGCGTGCCAGTGAGGCGGTGAGAAGGGCGTGGTCGGTCACCTCTCAGTAGAGCGGGTGGGGCCGGCGCTATATAACGACGGTCCGCCGTGCAGCCGACACCAGTTCAGCTTCGGACTCGCCAACACCAACATGAAGACCGTGAGTATGCACATGGTGGCTTCGAAACGTGTTTCAGTCAGTGTTGTGTGGTATTCAGTGGCATAAAATTGCTACAGTACACTCGGTGTCTGATGGCAAGCTCCAATCAGCGACTTTTGCCAACTGTTGTTATCGCCGTTTAACTACATATCACAAAAGCGTGCGCCAATTTTGGTTAAACTTTTATATTGAAGACATCAAGGCATTGCAGCCTAGAAAATCTCTTCTGTCCGTTTACCATCCCCACAGTCAAAAACATCCCAGTATACAGGACTCTACGAATCCAAAAATATATGTTTGTTTTCTTTTTACATATAGAAAATACTGATAAGTACTGAGCACAAAAGTAAACGAGTTTTCTCGAAATGGCTCCATTATATCATGACGCCGCAACCAAAATAATCGACCTATTATTTCAGTTCATCATCTCTGCCCTGGCCCTGATGGCCGTCGCCGACCGGCCCCAACCGACCTACGCCCCGGCACCGACCTACAGGCCCCGGCCTGCCTACGCCCCGGCCCCGGCCTACAAGCCCCAGCCAAGCTACGCCCCGGCTCCCTCCTACGGACACAGCGGCTACAAGCCCATCGCTATCCTCGAGGAGGAGAACGTTCACCCCGGAGATGGCACCTACAGCTTCCACTTCAACACCGAGAACGGCATCTACAGGTTTGCTCAAGTTTCAACATGACTGTGCGAAAAGAAATCGGAACCTTTCCGCATTTGATGTCGAGCGTCAATTAGTTTGTCCCACTGTTGGAGACGGCAAACAGCGTACCTCACTTCATATGGGGAGACCGCGCAATAATTCATTTGAGACTGCACATACATTTGTTGGAAGGGAATACTGTGTGCACGTTTAGCTAATTCCTCATCATGGGAATTTAGCATAGTAGAAATAAGCGTAGCAATGTGCTTTGTTTCTGACGCTGCTGCCACCTGTCGTTAGGTCCGAGAGTGGCGTCCCTCTGCCCGGCTACGGCAAGAACCAGTACGGACAGGACGATGGTAGCTACAAGCAGGAGGGCTCCTGGAGCTACACTGACGGCTACGGTAACCCCGTCAAGGTCACCTTTGTCGCCGACGAGAATGGCTACCAGCCATCCAGTGACATCCTGCCGACCCCGGTGCCCACCGAGTACCCGACCCCCGAGGTCAGCTACGACAACAGCTACCAGCAGCCCCAGCCTGCCTACGGCAAATACTAACTCAGCGACAAGTGCTTGTGAAACATGAGTGTCATGCAGTCGCGAGTATGTCCGTGCCTGCTTGTATGTCCACATATTTATTTGTCACGTTTGTGTTATTTGTACATGAAGAAGTAGAGTAAACATCTTCGTATGATACCATCGTTTAACATACCACAAACGCAAATGCGTTTGATGGGGAATGCAGGAAATGGAAAATGCATGGTTAGACAAATTGGTGTAATGAACTGCCGTTGCAAATAATTACAGCTGATGAAGAATCCAATGCCACAGAAATAATGTTTACCAAGGTCACGGAGTCTTGAGAAGAACGCACTCCTAAGATCACAGGACGGAAACACCGAATCCGCGGGAGCCATTAACGCATCAAACAGTCTACGGGATTCTACTAGACCAAGCGAGACGCGCGCAATATCACAACTGGGCTGCATCTTAAGGAGGACATACCCATAGGCTGCGCCCTTGTTTCTTGATAAAGCAGGACTAATCATTATCTAATTTGCGTCCAGTTTCCACCGTAAGCCCTGTCAATCGCGCAGGGGTGCCGGCCTCATGACACAGGGGCGTCCAGTGTTATTGCGTGCGGATTAACATGCCAGTTCGGCATCTTATGAGCAGGCGTCCATTCTTCATCAGCATTCATCCTAGCACGTATTGCCCTTGTAAAGCATGCCTGAGTTCGCGTTGCAGGCTTATTTGAGGTACGTTGATGGATCCGCTGTTATCTTGGGTGGGTAGAAACATTTTAGGAAAGATCTGCATCGGTGGAAAATGGTTTCATGTGTCGGAAATAAGCCAGTTATGCCGCAAAACACAAAGGAATCATAGTTTATAATCAGCGTCATCTGTCATCATCTGGGAATCTGCGCTTCGAGCACTTTCAATATTCACCATCATCTGATGGATTTGAAGTTGTCAGGCTTACTGGTCTAGCAATAGGTGTTATATTTGTCAAGGGTGTGTTTAAGAAAATACGTATCTCACTGCTGACAGCCGGCGTAAAATATTTTTTACAGTTTAACATATATTTGGGTACAAGTAAGTGATCAGAGCTTATGCGCGCACGGATGGCCGGTTGAATACTCGTCGCTTGGGTGGGGGAGGGAGTTTAATTTCATTCCCATGGAATCCCGGAAGTTAAGACAGCTAGATGCCAAATTCACAGGGTGGGGTGACCTGTATGTGTTCCAAGTTATACCAAACTTTGAAGTTCCTAGGTCATGACCTTTTGGGGTGAAATAAGACCAAACATGGTCAAACTCCACATTGTTGTTCAGAGTGCCATCATACCTCCTCGTACAACCACCTTGATCCTAGATGCTTATTCTAAGTAAAGTGTCGATGGCTTTCATTTCCGGTCATTGACTTTGTTTCACGTTTAAAAGGCCGAGGTGACCAAAAAACTGAGAGGTTGCTGCTATTTTGCCATTCAAATAATTTGTGTTAAACGGCATGTTCCTAAAAACGAAGTGTGGTTGTGGGTCATATTAGGTCAGTAATCTCATCTGACCTTTAAAAAGTCCATATAACATCTCTGCTGCGGTCCCTGTCGTAAAGAGATTTAAAATAAGCACCAGAAGCGACCTCATAAAATAAAAGCGGTTTAGCTTTGACCTCGGTCTGACCTTCATGCCTAACCCTAGACCAATGGAATTTGTTTTAACTCTGAATGACAGTCTTATCTGAGAAACTATTCCAGATGTGTGTGGCTTTGTCCGACTCTCCGGAGTCTAATCACATTAAACGATTCTCTAGAAATGGGCTTAGCTGAGAGCAAAGGCCTGAATTTGACCTACAAGACGTTAGTAAACTTACAACGTACATTCAATTTTTTACGTCAAAAGATCCGCTATCCAGCTGCCTACAGCTATGTTAAGTCTGGCCTGGCTACGCCGAGCCGTTCGGAAGACATTCTGGAGAACCTTCGGGTGGGGGGTAAGTGGGTCCCCACACGAGGGCGTGTTAACCGATATTTGTGAGACTTTCAGTGAAAGTAAACTACCCGATGAGCTGATGTTACTTACTCCCTTTACATGTGAGATATGACTTGGGTGACTGAGCCCTTTACAGGGCTCAATGATCAATGCAATATAATCCCGCAATATGATGAGATTTCATTGCATGTAACATAAGGCTGCGTTGACACTCGTCCGCATGGCCGGCTGGATATCCTTCGCTTGAAAGGGTGGTCAATTTGACACACACCCCTGCGATCTCAGAAAGTAAGAGAGCTAGACACACTAAATTCACAGGGTGTCTAGACCTGTGCGTGAATTCACTTAGGTCAAAGTTTGAGGCTCCTAGTTCCTGACCTGACCTTTAACCAGATAAGGTTAAAAAGTCAAACTCCAAGGTGGACTCAAAAGTGTCCCCAGGCCTTAAACACTGTTCTAAATCAAATTTACCATGTTCATTTAAGGCAAGTGACCTTGCTTGACCTTTCAAAGGTCATGCGACCAAATGATGCAAGACTGCTTTGAATTTTGCATTTAATTAGGCTACAAAGATCACGCTGGGCAGTATGCACTTAAAAAACGAAATGTTGATCGGGATCGTTTTAGGTCAGTGACATATTATGACCTTAAGGAAGTGCATGGAAGATGTCTAACGCGGTTCCTGTTATCAATAATTTGAACTGAGTATCAGAAACTATCCCATACAGCAGACACTAGAATAATAAAACAGGTTGGGTTGACCTTGGTCTAACCTTTATACCCGAACCAAGGTCAACTGAATTTGTTCATTAAATTGTTGTGTTGCCTAAGAAAGTATCTCAAAGATGAATGACTTCGTCTAACACTTCGTTAATGCATTAGATTGAACGATTCTTTAGAGACTGACTTCCCAGAATCCATGGCCTTATCATGACTTGCAGTAGGTCAATGACCTTATTAGGTATATTTATTGTTTTCTTGTCGCACGATCCGCTATTTGTATGTCTACAGTCATGCAAAATTTGGCGCGACTGCGCTGCGCCGTTCGGAATCCATTCAGGAAAAACCCTCTGGTGAGTCAATTCGAAACCCACCCGAACGCGCGTTAGGTTACGCTTCATATAGTTAGTGCCTAAGTCCAGACAATCGGTGATCTAACAGTAAACTAGGGCTAGGCTAACAGTAAGCTCTAACCCGCAAATGTCATGGCAGTGAAGCTTATGCCAGGCTGCTGCTATTTGCGGGGGACTTTCTGCCGCTATTTGCAGCTTTTTCTGAGGTATGCGTGGTGTATGGCTGTACGGTCGCGCTCATAATTGAGGGGATCTGACCGTTGCACATATCCTGCGCAGACCGTGTGTAGCGACCTCACAATGGGCCTCCCTTTATTGTGACCGGTGACAGGCATGCATGAGGGGGCGTAAATGTTTGAATGCCAGTTGCAGAATCCCAGTCAAGTGACGTTTGGTGCCCATGTTTGGACGAAAGTATCTGTTTCGTAAAAGCCTATATAATGTCGGGGCGCCAATGTTTTCGCCACCATCTGCAGGCGCCCCAGTTAGTTGGCTTATGGCAGGGAATTGCTTCGATAGTTATTACCTGTAGATCAATATAGAGCGCCATCTAGGCAGCAGTCGCCATTGACTGAGCCACAGCCACTATCTCGGGAAAGGTGTTCATAACATTTTGCATTACACGTCATGTGCGAGTACGTAACTTCAAAAGCCATGGAGGAACTTCGTCTAAAGCGAGTCAGTCACGGCGCTTGTTGCTTTGATGCAAGCTGGGCTTTGGGAGTCACGTCTTTGCTGTTAGGTGTTGGTAAGAAACCTGTCGGGTGAGCATGGCAAAGCTTGTTGGAAAAAAAAATGGGGAGCCAGTACTGCTAGTTATGCGGACTGCAATAATCAAGTTGAAGAAAACGACAGCGATATGGCTGAAAAAACACCGCGTAGCATAATCGATCCCCGCTTAACATGAATGGTGGCCAGTATAAGTAAATGCCGCTTAAGAGCGAAGCGAGAAAAATCAACCTTTATTAATTATTTATTTATCGTTACTCAGTTATACGTTATTGGTTATTCAAAATGAGCACGAATTAGCAGCCCAGACAGCAAGCTCCTTACCTCACCAGTTGGGTCGAGGTTAGTCCATATCAGTAACCTCCCTGACCGCCATCAAGTTAGTACAATAGTTATATTGCCACCCCTGTGATCAATGAATTCAAAGTAATGCTAAAAACACTTCAAGAAACAAGTTTTCCGGAAGCAAATTTGCTTGTTCTTCATTCTCAGCTGAAGCAATTCTTGATCTGATCTGATCTAGTCCCTGCTCAATGGATTAGCTATTATCCTTAATTATGTTCTCTTATTGTCAAGAAATAATTGCAGGTAATATGACGGAGTTGTTGCTGCTCTGCTGCTCTGTTGCTCTGTTGTTGCATCAGGTTGAAATAATTTGCTACGAAATGCCTTCGCTGATATCCATAGCCTGACTTTGACCTGCAACAGATCAGCGGCAGAGACCTTAGATATATATATATATATATGTATATATATATGTATATATATATATATGTATATATATATACATGTAAATATATAATGTTTTGAAGTAACTTATCCAGTTATCTACAGCTTGACAGGGTTTGACGCTGCTGCGCTACACTTTTGGTGTTATTGTGAGGAGAAAAAAATTGCAGGGGGCAATTGTGTTTGTCGGGATTCCTGGAGATGTTGCACCAAAGGCTAATGTAAAGACACTGGTTGTATTGCCTCAGACGGGCTCGTAATTTATGCAGGTCTGCACGTGCCCACTCTCGGATCGGATGCCTATTGAAACGTCCAGAGTTCATAAAGCCCAGTGATCAAAAAGTCCAAAAGCGCAGCATCCAGCGTTCATAAAGTGCAGAAAACGTCCAAAACCCCTTGCCAGAGGAGAACCATAAAGTCCAATGTTCCTTAAATCTAATGTTCATAGAGTCTAGTGTTCATAAAGTACAGTGTCCATAAGGTCCAGCGTGCGTAAGATTCACGGTTTGGGATATTGTCCTTCATCCCTTCACCTAATTGTTTGGATATTGCCCGATAAAGGGCTACCGTAGCACATTTCGCCCGCCTCAGCCGACGAGTGACGTCATGCGGTACAATGCGGCCAAGTTAAACCACTGTGCGTGGATATGGACAACGTTTTGTTTAAGCGCACAGACTTTGCGGTGTCAGCACACCGTTGATAGCAGGCGCATTAAAGAATTCA